AAAAATTGAAGTTTTTCAAGAACGTGAGGCGGCACTGGAGGCACTCACTCATCTATGCCAAGAAATTTGGAAGACAGCTGTCTATCCAACTGATTGGAAGAGATCCTTATTTGTGCCCATTCCAAAGAGAGATGACCCAACAGAATGCAGAAATCATCGGACAATATCTTTGATATCCCATGTGAGTAAAGTTTTACTAAAAGTAATACAGAAATGGCTGCCACCGTACATTGACAGAAAACTTACAGAGGTTCAAGCCAGATTCAGAAGAGTCCCTGGAATGAGACATATCATTGCTGATGTCCGATGGATCTTGGCTGAAAGATGTTTACCTGTGCTTTATTGACCACACAAAGGCTTTCGATTGTGTGGATCATAACAAGCTACAGATGACATTGCGAAGTATGAGTATTCCTGAATACCTAATTGTGCTAATGAGGAATCTGTACATAGACCAAGAAGCAGTTGTTCTAACAGAACATGGCAACACTGAATAGTTTAAAATTAAGAAAGGTGTGTGACAGGGTTGTATTCTTTCACCATACTTATTCAACCTGTATGCTGAGCACATAATCTGAAAAGCTGGCTTATATGAAGAAAATGTGGCATCAGGATTGGAGAAAGACTTATTAACAACCTGTGATATGCAGATGATACAACCTTGCTTGCTGAAAGTGATGAGGACTTAAAATACTTACTGATAAAGATCAAAGACCACAGCCTTCCATATGGATTGCATCTCAATGTAAAGAAAACAAAAATCCTCACCACTGGACCAATAAACAACATTCTTATCAATGGAGAACAGATTGATGTTGTCAGGGACTTCATTCTTCTTGGATCAACTATCAACACTCATGGAAGCAGCTGTCAAGAAATCAAACGACATATTGCATTAGGCAAATCTTCTGCTTAAGACCTCTTTAAAGTGTTGAAGAGCAAAGATGTCAGCTTGAGAACTATGGTGCGCCTGATATAAGTCATGGTATTTTCAATAACCTCATATGCATGCAAAAGCTGGACAGTAAATAAGGAAGACCATAGAAGAATTGATGCTTTTGAGTTATGGTGTTGGAGGAAAATACTGAAAGTGCCATAGGCTGCCAAAAGAACCAACAGATCTGTGTTAGAAGAAGTGCAGCCAGAGTGCTCCTTGGAGGCCAAGATGGCCAAACTTCATCTCTCATACTTCAGACATATTGTCAGGAGAGACCAGTTGCTGAAATGGATATCATGTTTGTTAAGGTGGAGGGTCAGAGAAAAAGAGGAAGACCCCCAAAAAATGGATTGACAAAATGGCAGCATCAATTGGCTCAAGCAAGGCAACGATAGTGAGGTTGGCCCAGGATCGGGTAGTGTTTCATTCTGTTGTGCACAACGTCGCTATGAGTCAATACTGACTCGATGTCACCTAACAACAACAAGGAAAAGTAGGAATAAGGAGTCCTGGTATAGCATTGTAGGGTAAACACTGGACTGTTAACCACAAGGCTGTTAGTTCAAACCCACCTATAAAGGGGTGCTATGAGTTGTAACCAACTTGATGGCACTTAACAACAATACAAGGAAGGAGTTAGGGTTAGAACTATGACTAGCTCTAGACCAGGCATTGTTAATTAAGTTCTGTTCAGTCGGTTCTGACTCAGCAACACTGTATATGGTTTCTGAGGAACAGCTTATGACCTTGAACCACTGACCTTGTAGTTCAAAACAATCTTGCAGTCCAGCACATTAACCTGCAGCACCATACCAGGACTCTACATAAGCATAGGACTTCATTTAGTGTTAGGGTAATGGATAGGACTAGGGTTAGTGTTTGTTATAGGTATAGGTTGGGCTAGGGCTAGGAGTAAGCCTTGGCTTAGTTTTGGGGTTATAGTTAGGTTTAATTAATTTTACTTTTCTTGAAATCTACTTGATTTCTTCTTCATTTGAAAGTTCTGTAACTACATTATTCCGTTTTACTTTTGTTATTGTTACAAACTTGTATCTCTGGTACCCGATTTTTAGTCTTGCAGTTCTGTTTTACTTTGAAGACTTTTGCATCTTGGTTGATTTCTGGGTGATATTGTCATGTATGTTAGTGTCAGGTTGTTGTCTGCTGTTGTTGGCTCTCTGTTCAGAGCACTCCCTTTAGTATTTTTTGTAAGGTTGGTCTGGTTTTTACAAATTCTTTTAGCATCTGTTTGTTTAGAAATATCCTAATTTTGCCATGATATTTGATGGACTCTTTTGCTGGTTATGGGATTCTTGGTTGGCAATTTTTTTTTTTTTCTTTAGAGTTTTATATTTATCATTCCTTTATCTGCTTACCTGCATGGTTTCTGCTGAGAAATCAGAGCTTTGTCTTATTAGTTCTCTTTTATAGTTCACGTTTCCTTATTTTGAAAAGTTTGATTATAATGTGTCTTGGTGAGTTTCTTTTGTGGTCTATCCTGTTTGGAGTTCATTCAGCCTCTTGAGTGACTATTTTCTCATCTTTTATGATGTTAGGGAAGTATTCTTCCAACAACTCTTAGACAATTTTCTCTATATTTTCTTTTTTGTCTCTTCCTATTATGTAATTCCAATCGTAACTTAATTCCAATGTAAATTACTCTTTTGGTAGTATCCCACATAAATCTTAGTCTTTCTTTGGATGGATTTTGTTTTGTTTTTTTCTGATTGTTCCTTTAACAGATGAATATTGAGAGATTTGTCTGTAAGCTCAGTAATTTGGCCTTCTATTGATTCAACTCTACTTCTTTTGTCTTTTCAATATATTATCTGTTTCTGAAGTCTTAGTATTAGTCTTCTGGCTTTCTAATTGTTTTTGTGTGGTTTCCCATTTTTTCATTTATTTTGTCCATTTGTTCTTGTAATGTTGTCCTGAATGCCTCTAAAGTATTTTTCTGTGTTCTCCTTGCTTTCCTCCATCTTTATTTCCATCCTAAATATCATTCTTTGAAATTCCTTATCTAGTAATTCTGACACCATTTCTAGTATATTTTCTGAGTCTCTATTTTGTTCACTTGTTTGGGGTACTCTGTCTTGTTGCTTCGTGTAAGTTGAAATTTGTCTATTTTCTTTCACACATTGTAGTGTCTTTGTGTTTACATTCAGTTGATGACTGTATGTTGGTGTGTTGTCAGACATTCACCACCTGTCTCCTGGTGGGTGTGATAGAGAATGGAATTCTGAATGCTCTTCTCTGTTTGCTGAGCATAGTTCAGGGCAGAATCAGAGGTGACATGCCCAGCACCCAGATCTAAGGCAGAGCTGAGACTGTGAGGGAAGGGGTGCCACCGGCCTCTGGATTGTCAAGGGCCTCCAGCTACCAGAAGGGCATGTGAACAAGGAAGAACTGCACCTCTCTTGCCACCAATGTCCAGTCGTGTCCTGTGTCTGAAGGCTGCTGTGTTGACAGCCGCTCACAAAAACTCCAGATGCTGTGCCGCTCCATGCCAGTGGACAGCCACCGGCTTTTCTTCTCTCTCGCCACTCTTGTTCAGCTGCCTCTTCTGGTCAGCACTCAATCCACCTCTCTGTCCTATCCTCTGAAAGTCAGGGTTCCAGGATCACCATCTGCATCTGTTTCACTTGGTCTCCCAGGTCTTTGCTGCGGAGGGTCTCCTCAATGCTTCTGCTTACTCCGCCATCTTGCCCTGGAAGTCTCTAGCACATTATTTTCTTTTGAGATGCAACCCACCAGAATTTTGCTTTATTTCATAATAAATATACACTTTGCCCTCAAGGGTCCATAGACAAAGGGTCAAGCCTGGATTTCAAAAGCCTGTGAACTCAAATGGGGTAACATTTGAGATATGCCCAAAGTCTTAGGCTCTTCATCTCTTCTGCATAAGTGATACTGCAGTTCTCCCCCCTCCCTCAACACAAACAGACACACACACACACACACACACACACACAAAATGACTTCCTCCTCTTTTCTCAGTACATGCATCCCATGTACTTCCAGTTTAATCCTTTCAGGCACTGTCCTCTGCCATTCTGCAAGGCTCCCCTTCCCATGGGCCACTGCTCCACTGAGCATAACCATCCTCCCTGTCACCTACCCTGAGATTCCAGGTATCAGAAGTGTCCTGCTCTCTGGGACATGATGGGGTGGTGGAGGAAGCTGTCTCATCTCATCATCCCCAAACCCCACATCTCCATCAAGGCTCTTTCATCTTCTGGCCTCACCTCTCTCCATTAGGAACTCTAACAAAATCCAGTGAGGATAATGTCCCTGAAAGATGCACATAGTTAACACACTCGGCTCTTAACGGAAAGGTTAGCACCTCAGCAGAAGCTCCTGGTGGTCTACTTCTGAAAAATCAGCCATCAAAACACTATCATTCTACACTGATACACATGACATCACTATGGGTCAACATCAACATGATAGTGACTGGTTTGAATGATGCGAGAATGGAAGGCATGTTGTCCTCAGTCTCTGAAGCCCTGAACAGCAACAAACAGTAGCCTTCCTTTCTCTTCTGGCCAAAGACCAAAAGCCCACAAACATATCAATTCATGCCTGTGGACTTCTGAGCAGTATAGGGTATCACTGTTATACAAGTCATAGTGCAACCTCAGACTGAACCTAGTTGGAATCTTTTGTTCCACCTTGATGTCCTTTTAAAATGTTGAGTTGATTCCAATTCATGGCAATTCCATATGTGTAGAACTGTGTGCCATAAGGTTTTCAATGGCTGATTTTGTAGAAGCAGATCTCCAGGCCTTTCTCCAGCGCCACTCGGGAGATCTGGGTGGACTCAAATCTCTCACCTTTTGATTAGAGGCCAAATACTTTAGTCGATATATAACACTGAAAGTACACCAAAATCCGTTTTTGCTCTGAGAATTTGTAAAGACTGTCGTTTTCCTCCTTGCTATGTGACTGGTTCAGGCAGGCCATCACTGAGGTTCCCATTGTGCCAGTGTCTGACCCTCCCAGACATTCAGAAAAACCACTGAGATGAAGTTAAACTGACTTTGTTTGGTCTTGTGCATTTCAGAGAAGATTTACTGACAGCTCAGAAGGAAATCCTGTCCCAGCAGGAGGTCATTGTGAGGTTGAGGAAAGACCTCACCGAAGCCCATGGCCGAATGTCAGATTTGAGAGGTTTGTACCAATCTTGTGTCTCTTGACATCCTGACCCACTTCTTCAAGAGAGGAAGCCCTTCAGAGTTGGAAAGCCTGGCTCTTGAAATACTGCCTGACTCACTTTCTAACGCAGCTGCAGCGCTTGCCTTTCAGGGTCAACAACTCACCAATGCCAAGGGGAGTTCTCCAGAGAACTAGAGATGAAGCTTCATTTTGCAGGGAGATGCTCCTTTATCCCTGAAATTCTGGAAGCAAAGCCTTGAAGGGGAAGCCCGGGCTACCTGCACAAGCCTCATAGCCTACTAGCTTTGGGATCAAGGGCAAGGTGCTTCAGGGCTCGTCTTCCTCTTATTAAAGTGAAGACAACACCACCTACTTCCTAGAGTTGATGGGAACCTCAAGAGTCCCTTAGAGTTGGGGTGAAATAGCTGAGTCCTCTCTTTGGGATGCACACAAACAACTCTGGCTTAACATTCCTACTTGGGTCTTTCTCTGTTATTTCTGTCTCCCTCCTTCTTGCCACCTTCGTTTTCCCATCCCTAGAATCAACCCAGGCAAAAGGCATAATAAGCAGGCATCAAGATGTAGGCACCAAGGTTTAGGACAGTGGAAGGTAGAATAGTTAAGTCTCTTTCATCTCGTCCCCACCTAGAATTCTGTGTACCCTACAACCTTCAAGGATCTTTCTCCCCTACAGCCATTCCTGTTAATACACTCCAGGCATCTACGGCTAAATTTTTCAAAGAGTAATCACATAAAAATGTATACATAGAGGCTACAATTTCCAGTTCTAGAATCAGGAGACCTCACACTCAGTCCACATCTGTGACTTGTTAGCTGCATGACCTTAGGCAGGTCAGCTCATCTCTCCGAGTCTCTACATCTATAAAGTGGGTGTGTTAATAGCAGCTACCTTGTTGAGTTGAGTTAATGGTTCTAGGTAATGCAGGCGTCTTTCTTTGGGTTCTCCTGAAAGCAGAGCCTGAGAGAAAAGTTTCAGAACAGGCAGTTTATTTGAGAGGTAAATCCAGGAAACACAGTATGGAGAGTGAAGAAGACAAGAAAGGATAGAAAGCAAATGAAGAGTGTGTTATCAGGTTTCCAGAGTGGGCAAGTGGAGCTGAACTCTGCTAGGGAATGTTAGGAAACTGTGAGTGCAGGCTTCCCAGGTATCCCGCCTGAGGGCCTAGAGAGCTCAGGATATAAACAACAACTTCCATCAACCCTTGACTGGAGGTGGTTGTACCTGGCAGGCACATGTGCAAAGCAGACTTCAGAGCCCTTAGGATGCCTGAGAATACCAAAGTGCCACAGGCTGGGTCTCAATGTGCTCCAGCACATCAGGTAAACTCCCACAGTGCCTCACGGAGTCAGCACTAGAGAGAAAGCAATTGTCACAAGTAATGTTTCTATTGTTAACAAAGGCACAAATACAAGCAGACCTAAGGGTTCCTAAAGCCCCTGAGAATTCCTGGAAGGGGGTGACCTGTCTTGTGGGTCTTACAGGCCTGGCAGATCTGCTGTAACCCTAGCAGGACCCACAGCAGGAGACCACCTCACGAGTTTTCATGTCGCTTCCAGGGGAGCTCAGCGAGAAGCAGAAGATGGAACTGGAGCGGAATGTGCTCCTAGTACAGCGGCAGAGCAGTGAGCTGAGTGTGCTCAAGGAGAAGATGGCCCAGGTGACTGGCCTGATGGAAAAGAAGGACAGGGAGCTGGAGACCCTCAGGGAGGCGCTAAGGTGTGTGACGACAGCTCCGTGGTCTACCCAAGTGCCTGGGGGGCCTCCCACAGAGATGGGCTCAGTCAATGTTGGTTGGGTAGGCGAATGAATGAATGAATGAATATGTTATGTTTCATTGCGCCATAGACTCATCAATTCAAATCGGATTTGTCTTAGTTCTGTTTCTCAGACACTCTTGCCCAGTATTCCAGAAGACAGATCTCTGCTTAAATGCCACTTCCTCTGGGAAGCCCTCCGTCTTCCATCCCTACCAAATGTGGCCAAGGCTCCTGCTCTACCCTGGGTCCCTCAGCCCCTATACCTCACCTAACCTAATGATCAAACCAAATCCAAACTAAATTCACTGCCGTTGAGTCCATTCTGTCTCGTAGCGAACCTATAGGGTGAAGCATCATGGTTCCTCAGGGTTTCTGGGACTGTAAGTCTTTATGGGAGTAGACTTCTCCTGCAGAACAGCTGGTGGGTTTGAACCGCCAACGTTGTGGTGAACAGCAAGCCCATGACACCACCAAGACTCCTTAGGCTTTAGTTATCTGTGTCTCCCTGAAAACAGGGTCCTAAGTGACCTAGTCAATTATTGTCTCCTCAGCACTAACACATGGCCTAACACAGAAAGGAAACAATGAATGCTTTCTGAAAATGAATGATTTACTTATTGAAACGAACAAACTAGGTGTGTCAAAAGTCAGTTTAAAATAAGGATAAAATGCCATGTTAACCCATGTCTAAGAAATATCCTGTACCCTGGTATTTTTGTCCAGAGTTCATCCATGTTGTAACATAAGAGTCATGTCTGAGCAAGCCTGATAGGTCCTGTAGAACCTGTAGCAAGGAGCCCTGGTAGCGTCGTGGATTCCGAGCTGGCCTGCTAACTGCAAGGTCAGCTGTTCAAATCTACCAATCGCTCCGCAGGAGAAAGATGAGACTTTTTGCTCCCATAAAGATCTACAGCCTCGGAAACCACATACAGGGTTGCTAAGAGTTGGAACCGACTTGGGGGCACACAATCCTGTAGTGGGCACACATCCTGTAGACATTTCATGGGCTTCATGGCCGTGGCCTAGGCATATTCACAGAGACTTGAAAAGAACGGGCTGGGAATCGACTGCTTGGGTTCAAAACCAGACTTCTCCATTTCCAAGCTCTGTCACCTTGGGCATATTGCAGTATTTGTCTTTCTTTGTCTGTAAAATGGGGCAAAAGAGCCCCCAGCTGAGGGGATTGTAAGAAATAGATGAGTTACCACATATGAAGCATTAGTGGGTACGCAGCACATGCCTCCACAGACACTGACAGGTAGGTGTCCTACAGACCCACGGTAGGACTCGAGGGTTGGTGCTTACAGCTCTGGACACTAGCTTCTGTTGTTGTTGTTAGGTGCTGTTGAATTCCTTTCCATCTCATAGTGACCCCATGGGACAGAGTGAGGCTGTCCCATCCACAGGGTAGTCTAGACTGTTACCTTTATGGGAGCAGATTGTCAGGGCTGTCGCCAAGCAGCCCCTGAGTGGCTTTGAACTGCCAAACCTCAGTTAGTAGCCGAGCACTTGCTTAACCACTGGGCCACTAGTGCACCTTTGTATTCTCCAAGGCCTCTAAAAACCACATTCTCCAGGATTTTGCTGCAGGAGACTGGAAGACTCTTAGAATCAAGGCACCAAGAGAAATGTGCTTTCTTGCCTGTTTTGCCAGAGGGTACAAAGGTAATTTATGGTTCTGGAACCTTGCTTCTGCTACCCAGTGACCCTCCTCTCTGCCCTAGGGTTTCCCAAGAGAAGTACAAACTCCAGCTAAGCCTGGAAACTAACCAGAAGCCCAGGAATCCGGCTCAGATGTGCGACATCTCAGTGCAGATGGAACCGATCCACACAGATATGTTCTTGAACAACCAATCGGTAAGTGGCCATCCGGTTCTGGGCCTGGAAGACCATGTGAACAAAGAGTCCCACCATGTTTGTTTTCTTTCCTTGTTTAGAAACATTTTTATTTTCAATTCCACAAGTATTATTTGAGTGTTGTTGTTAAGTCCCATCGAGTCGGTTCCAATTCCTAGTGACCCTGTATAGGGTTTCCAAGGAATGGCTGGTGCATTTGAACTGCTGACTTTGTGGTTCACAGTGCAGAGCTGACCCTACAGCACCCCAGCAGGATGCCATTGTTTGATTATATGAAATGTAAAAGAGCAAAAACCCGGCCTCTCCCCTTGCAATCACAGTGTGGCATGGGTTCCTCAGACCTTGTCCATGCAGAGACCACTGGATGGACAGAGAGCCATGCTGCACACTGATTGAAGGGTTAAGATCCCAACTCCTCTACTACAAACTCAATGACCTCGGAGAAGTTGCTATGCCTTGATGTCCGTATCTGGAAAGTGGGTATAATGACAGCCCCCACTTCATGGGGTTACTGAGAAATAAATTTTATTTGGGTGCAAACACTAAAATATATATATATGGAGTATGTATATATGTATATAAGGAGCTCTGGTAGTGTAGGGGTTACGAGTCGGCTGCTAACCTCAAGGTCAGCTAGTTTGAAACTACCAGCAGTTCCACAGGAGAAAAAAATGAGGCTTTCTGCTCTCGTACAGATTTGCAGCCTCAGAAAGCTTATACAGGGTTGCTATGAGTTGGAACCAACTCCACAGGTTCAAGCTCACCAGTCACTCCTTGGAAACCCTATACAGGGTCACTATGGGTTGGAACCTACTCGACTGCACTTAACAACAGATATTTACTTAATAGATAAAGATTTGTGAAATAAATAAATAATGATATCAAACCATATATATTCAGACACAGATATTTATTTAGTAAAGTTTTGCAAAAAATAAAATAATACTGGTATCAAACCATATATAGTCTGCAACTTTTTCTTTCCCAGTTAGCACTATTCAGTGGCTATTTTATTAAGTCATTATAGAAGGCTCTACCTCATTATTTTAAATGGCTCCACAGAATTCTGTATGTCCCATTTATCCAATCCGTCCCTGATTGATAGACATCGAGGTTGTTTCTACTTTTGTAGGATGCTGTAATGAATATCCTCTTACACATAAAGAACAGACTTCTAGATGTGAAATTGTTGTTGTTGTTAAGTACCAGGGAGTCAGTTCTGACTCATAGCTACCCTGTACAGGGTTTCTGAGGCTGTAAATCTTTACAGGAGCAGAAAGCCTATCTTTCTCCCACAGAACAGCTGGTAGTTTCTAACTGCCAACCTTAAGATTAGTAGCCCAATTCGTAAACACTACACTACCAGAGTCCTAAATTGTGGTTGACACCGCCAGACCACCTGTTCAAAGGGTGGTAGCTTCTCCATGGTGATTTCTCTCTCGGCACTTACCCAGAAACCTTTGCATGCCTAGAAGTCCCACTTACCCATGAAACACTTCAAACCACGACATGTCTTTAAGGGAGACAAGCTTTCATCACCAGGTCCTGGAAGCTGGCTCCTTTCCTCTGTGGGGGGCCAGTGATTCTCCTAATCATTAGTATTAGACTAATTGTGGGGTGCCTAGGATTCCCTCGAGTCCTGGAATAACCTTTTCCCTTGACTGAGTGAATATGAGAGCTTTATGAAACGGGAGAGCAGGGCGTTTCAGTAACAGGCTTTGGTTTCAGTAATAATTGGGCCAAATGTATCAGCTTGTTCTCCTGCTTCCTCAAAGACGCCTTTCCCCTGCCAAACAGCAGACAGCCAGGGCAACAAACAGCTTCCAAGAAAGGACTCTGTCTTCCAGTCGGCCATCTTTGGCACTAGTCACTGTCCAGGGCTAGAGTCCCTTGTTGTCAGGGTGACCAGGAAAGAAGCAGCGTCCCCATAGTATAGGGAGCTCATGGGGCAGGGAGCCTGGGTCATTCTTGTTGAAGTCCGAACATTCTCTTGTTCAACAGCTATTGAGTGTCTGTTGTATGCTAGGCCCTGGGGTCCCAGAGTGGCACAGAGGGTTAAGTACTTGGCTACTAATCAAAAAGTTGGCAGTTCAAACCCTCCTAGAGGCATCTTGGGAGGAAGACCTGGCCATCTGCTTCAGAAAGGTCACAGCCGTGCACATCTTATAGGGCAGAGTTCTACTCTTGACACACATGGAATTGACTCAATGTCGTCTTGTTTGGTGTTTTATGCCAGGCACAGGGGAAGCTGCACAGGGTCCCTGCCCACACTGATCGCTGCGTGTGTTGGTTTGAAATGGATTGTTGAGCTACGAGGCTTGGATTTTTCATTTCTATGGTGAGGTGTGGGATTTATTGAGGAGCATGGAAGAGGGATGCTGCAAGATATAGAGGAAAAAAACACAAAAAACTTCTTCCTTCTCAGAACAGTTTTCCACGTTCAGGCTGCTTTCTGCAATGTAAGCCAGGGTAGGCCAGAGGGCTTCAGAGTGGTATGTGAAAGAATCTCCATCTTCTCTAAAGAAACAAATCCCAGCACAGCCACGAGTAAGGGCCACGTTGGGGCCACACATACTCCTCAGCAGAGTTAAAGGCTGCCACTCATCCTCCCTGCTCTGTCTGTTCCTCCACACCCCCAAAACTCACTAGCTCCTGCCCACGCCTTTCCTCACACTTTGGCAAACATACTGCGCACATCCCACATTTCCGATCATTTACTCCCAGGGCAAGCATACATCTTCAAAGAGATGAGCAAGGCCAGTGTAGCACCTCCTTGGCAGGCAGACCAACCCCTCAGCCAGGGGTTCAAGCACAAGTGAGACCCTACTAACTGCAGCCAAGAGCACCTCTTTTCTGTTGGCTGCTTAATAAATATTTGTTAAATGAATAATTTACCCTAGGGAAGTATTTGTTCATTTGGAGTCCTTGGATGGTCTTCTGGGGGCTCTTGAAACAACAGAAGTTGTACATAATTGTGTGTGCGTCTGTGATTTTTTTCTGGAGGAAAGCTCCCTTCATTCTTCCAAATCTCAATGTGGTGCTTTTGTTGTTGTTGTTGTTAGGTGCAACATCAAGTCAGCACTGACTCATAGCAACCCCTAAGCACAACAGAATGAAACACTGCCCAGTCCTGTGCTAACTTCACAATTGTCGGTATACTTGAGACCATTGGTCCTGCCACTGTGCCAATCCAACTCGTTGAAGGTCTTCCTCTTTTTCGTTGACCCTCCACTTTACCAGACATGAGGTCCTTCTGCACCAACTGGTCCCTCCTGTTTGTTCTTTTGGCAGTCCATGGTACTTTTAATCTTTTCCTCCAACACCATAACTCAAATGCATCAATTCTTCTATGGTCTTCCTTATTCACCATCCAACTTTCAAATTCATGTGAGGCTATTGAAAATATCATGGCTTGGATCCGAGGCACTTTGGTTCTCAAACAAACATCTTTGCCCTTGAACACTTAAAACAGGTCTTGTGCAGCAGATTTACCTAATGCAGTACATCATTTGATTTCATGAGTGTTGGTGGTTGATCTGAGCAAAATGAAGTCTTTGATAACATCGATCTTTTCTCCATTTATCTTGATGTTGTTTATTAGTCCAGTGGTGAAGAATTTTGTTTTCTTTACATTGAGATGTAATCCATACCGAAGGTTGTGCTCTTTGATCTTTATCAGTAAATGTTTTAAGTCCTCTTCACTTTCAGCAAGCAAGGTTGTATCATCTGCATATCACAAGGTTAATGAACCTTCCTCCAGTCCTGATGTC